TCTTTCTATTTCATTTATTTATTCATGAGAGAGAGAGAGAGGCAGAGGGAGAAGCAGGCTCCCTGCAGAGCCAGGGAGCCCGATGCGGGACTTGATCCCAGGACCCTGGAATCATGACCCAAGCCAAATCGACTGACCCACCCAGGCGCTCCTAGAACATACGTTCTCTTAAATGGGGATTTTCATGGAGCGAGTCTTCAGCTACTCCTAAGTGGGAAATCCCAGACTGGGCATCCGTATTGGTTACACCTTCTGATTGTGGGATGGTAGCCAGCTTCTTCCTCGTTCTAGCCCTATGACCTTGGTTCAGGCAGTTCACATCTCTGGACCTCAGCCTCTTCATCTGTAAAAGAGAGGGGTTGGGCAGGTGCTATCAAGGTCCTTTCAGACCTAAAATTACATTACCCTAAGGATAATTATAACAAATTCTAGAAAGTGTTTTATGGCTATAAAGAGAAAACACTTTTGTAGCAATCTAAATTAGAATTTGCCTCTCGGGAATCAATTAGGCAGGTCCCCAAAGCGCCTCTCCAACTGTAAATGAAATGACTAAAATAAGAAGGGAGAAGAAATCCTGCTTTCCCCCATTCCCTTAGCAGAAAGCTGACTCTTGACTTACACCTTTGGTTACGGTCAGTAGCTCCAAATGCCATATCTACTCTCATAACATGGCAGCCCAGGTGCCCACGGCACAATGGCCAGTCACCTTTAGAGAAGAAACTTTGCAGAAAAATAATTACATTCTATCACCTTTGAAGCTATTCCAATTTCACAGAGGTTTGTGTTTTCCTCCCATTAAACCCAGCTGGTCATTTCAGTTGATCAAGTGAACAGGCATCATTATCTTCAATTCTAATTTATATGAGGCATCCCCTGAAATTGACCCCTGCAGACAATTATAGATTCACATAGGAAATTAAGACTGTGAGTCCCTCCAACCTATTAGAGGCTGATGAACATGGCCTGATCTGAAGGTATGTAATCTTATATTTTGGGGGAGAATTTATTCCAAGGACTATCAGGCTCTTCATCATCAATGTCTGCCCCTTACCTGGCTCTTGAAATCAGATGTAACACAGATGACTTTAATAGGAAGACCCTAGTAAATGTTGATTGCTATGAAAACATAAGAGGAAGAGATCATTTTCGAGGTGACTGTGATTTACTATAAGCAGATCTGTGTACTTCAGAATATAGGCAGCAGATGCTTTATACGATCAGAAAATGAGGGCCGTGTCTTCTAAGTTAATAAAGCAACCCCCACGCCAGTTGTCTCAGTTGCTCAATAAAGCATATTAGTCCTTAAAGTTACTTTTTAAACAACAAATCATATGATTTGGGGGCTTAAAGAGACTTTAGAGAATATATATTTCTAACTATCATTCTTTATGTAAGAAAAGAAACTGAACATGGGGAGGTCACTTACGTAAGACCATGTAGAAAGAGCTGAGACCAGAACTTGGGTCCATATTTTGGCCGTGAAATATTTTACAAAACAGCCAGGGCTTTGGAATTGAAAGTTTCTTTCTTGTTTATACACCCTACTGCACCTAACATGTTTGTCAGCGTGTGAAATTCAGACTTTGAAAAGACTCACTTTTTCCTCATAGGAGTCTTCTGGGGGCACCTGGGTGGCTCAGTCAGTTAAGCTTCTGACTTGATTTTGGCTCAGGTCATGGTCTCAGGGTTGTGGAATCGAGCCCCACATCGGGCTCTCTGCTCAGCCAGGGTCTGCTTGTCTTCTCCCTCTGCTCCCTCCACCCCACTCATGCTCTCTCTCTCTCTCTCAAATAAACAAAATCTTTAAAAAAAGGCCTCTAAATGGTGTTTTAGAGACCAACCGTCTAAATCTAGCCCCGGTGATGATATGGTTAATAACATCTGTTAGACTTTCTGAATTTGGGGCGACCTTGAAAACTGAAATTAAAAAAAAAAGTTGCACGTTGCTTTATTGTGTTTGTTATTTTTTTAAGGACAAAACTGAGAAGGGGCTTGTTTGGATTCTGGTTTGTCTACAAATGGAGAAAAAATGACTAGTGCAATCACAAAACAATTTCATAATTACAGTGTCTTTGCCACATTCTAGATTATTTCAGCGCTAACAGGAAATTTAGGCAAATTAGTTTGCATGAAAAATAGCTTCTAAGGAGACCTGTATAGAAGCAGGAACTGTTAGAAATCCTATCTGGAAGTCTCATCCTCTGTGCACAGAGTCTCTGTCTTGATGGAACAGAACAGTTTGCTAGGTCATATGTAGATGTCTTACACAAACCACATCTAGAGAAACCCAAATCAGTTTTTTTTTTTTTTAGAAAAAAACAACTTACACTGCTAGTACAGAGAGAAACCAATATTAAATTTTCTTCTACCAACCTGATAATTTTTTGATGCAACATAAATAGAGCCAGAATGGAGATGGAAGAAAGAATTTGAATAGATCATACTTTCAAAGGGAATGAAGCATTATGGCCATTTTGGCACTAAGAAAAAGGTATGAGGTGAAATCAATTTCCACATTTGTTTTCCTGATCGTGCTCAAGAGTCTGGCCTCCCAAAGGAAAATATGTATTTTATAACCACCACCAAATGATCCTTTCCAGAAATGACCACAGGTAACATCTGGCCAATATATAAAATACGTAATAAAAATAATCATTTTTAATTAACTAAAACCTGCTCAGGAGAGAGAGTCAGAGGAATATCCATCTGGTCAATTCTTATTTAATAGGGCAAATGAGGATCAGAATGTTTAATGCAATATATGTGAAATACTCAGTGACCTTACAATAAACTAAAACTTTATTTATTTTTTTTTTAGGAAGAACAGGGATGAAGGGGAAGAATAAAGATATCTTGAAATGACAGACCTAAAATTTGATTTTTATTTTAGAAGTACATGTACTTTAAAACAGAGGTAGAATATAAGAGACCTAGGTTTTGTGGCATTATTTTCTATGGTTCAATGACAGAGTGTATTTTAATCTATTTGAATGGTAAAATGAGGTTGTATTTTATTCCAGAGCTTGACAAGGATGATGAAGAGTTTTAAGTGATTATAAATAAAGGTAAAAGGAACAAAGAGAAGATTGAAGAGTACTTGATGTCTAATGGTCCCAAGGAAAGTTATATATTGGCTTGTCGTAACCAAAAGTCCTCTATCCCCTCTGTAGAAGAAGAAATGAGTGTATGCTACACGAGAAGTTAGGTTAGTTCTAGGGGAGGACTCCTTTAATAGTCTGAAATATGCTGTTAAGAAGGTACATTTTTCTCTTCCCTTCTCAGGAGTAGATTGTCCTTTGATTGGAGTAGTTTAGTTGTGCTTCCAAAGAAAGTGGTTTTCAAACTTTAGTATACATGAAAATCACCAAGAGAGGCTTTGTTTTTTTAAAGATTTATGTATTTATTTGGGGGGGTGGGAGAGGGGCAGAAGGAGAGGGAGAGAATCCTCAAGCAGACTCCCCGCTGAACATGGAGCCCGCTGTGGGGCTTGATCCCAGGACCCTGAGAGCATGACCTGAGCCAAAACCAAGAGAGGATGCTAACCGGCTGAGCCACCCAGGCACCCTGAGTTTTTTTTGTTTTTTTTTTAATAAAACACAATTCTGGGCCTCACCCCCAGAATTTCCAATTCAGTAAATTGTGGGGCCTAAGAATTTGCATTTCCAGGAAGTTCCCAAATGATGTTGATGCTCAGGAACCACACTCTGAGAACCACTGGACTGGAATGCTTTGTACTCAATACCTAGATTCTGAAGTAAATTCATCTCTTCGTTAGTAAAATTCACCAGCTGCAGTACTTCTTTATCACAGAACTGCAGGTTGAATGTGTATGTTTTGCTGCTTTTCATAGCCATGAACAAGAGAAGGAGCAATGGAAATGACATTTTCCCGTAACCCTTTCACAGTAGGCAATGAATATGACTATACTTGGGGTTTAAATGCAAGCTTTGGAGCCTAGAATAGACGTTTTAGATGAGTTTAGGATCATTATCCATAAAATC